AATTGTCATCCCAGTTGAGCTCCTGACAGTCTCCAGTGTGAACCAGAAATTGTTCTTGAGCTGCTCAAGTGCCATGTGTTGAGGGAGACCATCTCTGACCTCGCAGTATAAAATTACAAGCACCAGTCTTTCCCCAATGTGTCTCCCTTTCATTAACTTTATTTTTATAGCAGTTATCACTGTGTAACATTATGAAGCATTATGTTCATTCACCTTTCACCCAACTAGGGCGGAAACGCCAAACGAAGCAAAGGCCTGGATTTTGTTTATTACTAGATCTAAAATGCCAAGACAGGCACCTTAAATAAAGTAATACAGTAAGCGAGATTTCTCTCTCAGCATTTGAGTGTATAAAGCACCAGATTGGCACAGGCCACTGTCAGCAAGGGCTGGCTGTCCCACTGTGTCCAAGGTCATGGGCACCCCAGCCTGGACAACAGAAGCAGAGAAAGAGCATTTTTTGGCCAAGTCTTCATCAAAGGCTTAAAACTGGAGTGTGAGGCAGCATCGACCTTCCCCATGTTTACAGTTTTTAAAATAATAGTACTATTGATATAAAATATAAGTGTGGGTCAGTCAATTGGAAGGAACTCAATAGTCAAATAAGTTTGTGAGACTAGTATTGAAAAAAAAAAAAAAAAAAAAAAACCTCCACAACGTTCTTGATTGCAAGACATCTCTGACAGATGTTAATGCTCATCAGACCTGAGAAGAGACCTTAGGCTGTTTTGCCAAAACTCATTTGATCTTAGATATTTTCTTTCTGCCACCAATACTAATTCCACATGATTTTTTTCTTTCTGTATTTAGGACAGGGTCTACAGGGTCTCACTACATAGACTGGACTCATAGTGATCCTCCTGTTTTCAGCCTCCCAAGTGCTGGGACTACAGGTACACACTACCAAGCTCAGTCTCAATCGCCATTTCAGCGCACCCCACAGGCGGGCCCAGCATGGCACACTGGGAATTGAACCCCGGCCTCTGTGCTCTGCCTAAACAGGAGCTTTAGTCCACTGCGCTATCAGGTCAATCCTCCAATGCTAATTCCAAGGCAAGACAGCACAAGGTCCACTGACATGGATGCTGAACAGAACAGGCAGGGGAAGGTAGAAGAACTCTGGCTGTGCTTTGGACACTTTTATTTTTATACAATTTTATATTGGGCAATCAGAGAAGGTATCCCTGGTAGCATGTTGTGTGATTGTCGGCACGTTCCTTCATGCTGCCTTCTGCCCAGCTTCCTCCTAGGTGAGGTATGAATAGAAGGGACTGTCAGGTGTCTGTAAAGTGCCAACACATAAGGACTAATTGTGGGTGGACATTACCAGCTCCTTTTATTGAATGCAGGCATGCACGCCTTTTCAGATTCCCCAGAGATATTTTCTAAGACAGATTCATTAGCGTTGACCCATATCTGGAATCAGCCGGACATGTCCCCTCCTCAGGTGGGCCCAGCATCTTGCCCTGATCTGAAAGGCTCTGTGCACCTCAGCCAGAGGCAGACAAAGCCTGTCTTTCGACACAACTTAATATAGCCATACAGTCCCGGCACCCCACAGAGCTGGTGCTCTCTTTTCCATACCCTTGACCTCGGATGAAGATGCTGGCCTTAGGAGGGAGCTGGTAGCGTCCAAGTGAACCATTACAGAGAGGGCTTCCTACTGGCAAATTCTGAAGGGATCATATTTTTTCAGTAAATTTTAAATGGAGGTATGATTTGTACAAATCTGACCCTTTCCAGTAAAATGCACATTTACATATATTTAGAATTTATAAATCCTGACAGATCCTACAATATTTATAGCCCTCCATAAAAAGCCTTCGCTGGTTTGCAGAGCTTTACATTTGGCTCTCTGGCATGCTTATGAGAATTTAAATAATAATAAATTCGGTGATTTATTCCACCTGGAACAGAAATGTACCCCCAACCCAATCCCACCCCATGCTCATTTTGAAGGGGATATCTATAAATAGTGCCGGAGACGCTGGGATCAGGAATAGGGAATTGAAATTTGAGAAAGAAGTACAGAAACATTTCCATTATCACTGATTTCTTGAGTGTATTTTTAAAACAGCTCTGTTCCTCAAATAATGTAGCTTCTCCTCTTTCTCCTGCCTCATCTCGATTATACTTTCGTCTCCCAAACCTGTTGCCAGCTCGAGGATTCAGTTGCATTAATGGGCAAGAGAGGGTGAGAGTATTCGCTGACTGAGTAGAAGAGATCCAGCTCTGGGGAAGCCGCGGCGTTTCTCCAGCATTCATCTAGTATTTCATACGAGTCAGCAGGTAGCTGAACATCAATATTTAAAGCGTAGATTCATTATTTGAGACCATCTTATGCATCCAACAGGTAGGACGAGCTCACGGTTCATGAAAAAGGAGAAAAAAAATCCAATTGTAAACCAAAAGCAAGGCCAAGGAAAGAACAGAAGGTCGGTTCTTTCATCTAGCCATGCTCAGAACTCCTAGGACAGGATACGCAAGAAATAGAGTATGTCCTCCTTGTATCTGTAGGTTCACTTTCCATATTTCAATTATCCATTTCCACTGCGGTGCAAAAATAGTATCTGGGCTATTTTAGAAATAAGCCATTCATACATTTTGAATGATGCGACCCTCTGAGTATCGCCACGCCCCGACCCATCTTCGGTATAAATCCCGCCTCTGCCTGGCGTCTCTCTGTTTTCACTCGCTCATCCCTCAGCCACCACTTCATCCCTGCAGGCCCCGCTTTGTCTCACATTGTCACGAGAGCGACAGGTGTGCCG